CTCAGATTCCTTCCCTCCCAAGTCTCCATTCTCAGGAATATAACTGGCCTGGCAGATTTTGCCTCTGTGCCTAGTCAGTCACCCACAATCCCTGTCCTTGCAGATCATTGGCCAGTTATCAGTCCTATCTTAGAGAACTTTCCCACCGGGTCTTGGTTCTGTGAATCTTTAGTCTGTGAGCAGCTAATCGGACAACAAGCACTCTAAGATTTCTGGAACCCAGTTTATTGGTAAAAACTAATTTGATGTGAACAGCTGCCAGTGTGTGGAAATGCTGATATCCCCCAGCTTCTGGGGCAGGCAGAGATCTAGTAGATCCCAGACGTCATGCTGTAGGCCTCCAGATCTAGGAAGAACCAGCCTCTTGGCTAGATGATCAGGTGCTAGGATCCAACAACAGTGTAGGAGAGAGCACTGACTTAGCTCTATCGACCAACTCTGAGGACATTCCCATGTGCCATCAGTCAGGGAGCAAGCCTTTTTTCAATTTTTATTTTATTAGTATGTGTTTGCAGTAGATAATGATTACATTCCTTGTGAGGAGTAGATGCATGCACATATTTCATCTTTTTTTATCCTATCCCTCATCCTACCTTTCCACTATTTCTTGATCTTCTTTTTCACAAAAGAGCTATTTCCTTATTTCCTATTATCTGTCTTTTATTTTGCTCTTTATATTTCAAGTTTCTCAGATAAGAGAAACCATGCAATATTTAAGCTTGTGTGTTCATTTCTGTCAACATTATGGTCTAAGGTGCACCCACTTTTCAACAAATGATTCAATCTTTTTTTTTTTTTTTTTTTTTTTTTTCTTTTTTTTTTTTTTTTGCAGAACTGGGGATTGAACTCATGCCCTTGCGCTTGCCAGGGAAGCGCTTATTCCACTGAGCCATCTCCCCGATCCCTCATCCTTCTTTATAGTAGCATTGTGTATATAAATACCATTGAGCACAAATACCACACTGTCTCTACCCACTCCTCTGCTGATAGACATATACACTGTTTCTAAGACTTAGCTGCCACGAGTACTGCTGCTATAAACGTGTGTCCAGGTACGTAACTGTTGATACATCATGTCAACTTGAGAAGTTTAGAAGTTAACTGAGCAGGGGGCCAGGGTCCTTGCTTTGTAAACATGCTGAGCCGTGGAAGAGCAGCGCACACAATATAAGGGAGGAAGAGGCCTGGCCCACCCCGCCCCACGCCCGCTTGCTCATGGTTCTGCCATCTCCTGCCACCTTGAACTGTGGCCCCTGAGCCACGCAACCCTGCCTTGGAGCCAGCCGGGTATGGACTGAAACCACCACACACTGTGAGCTAACTAGATCTTTCCTTCTTTGATTTTGAGTGTCGGGGTATTTTGTCCCAGCAACAAGAGAGAAAAGTAACCAAGACAATGTATCAGTGCAGTACTATCAGGTCTTGAGATCCAGTCCTAGCCCAGGCCTGGTGAGCTTGTGGAGAGCTTTCGGCTACCCTGTGCCAGTGGAACCTGTCGTCCCAGCCCAGGTGCAGAGTGGGTGAAACCCTCTTCCACCCCCTTGGGACGCCCCCCACCACTCCGCAGCACCTCCCCCACCCCGCCCGCTGAGTAGGACTTTCTGCCACGTTCTGGAACCCCTAGATCCAGTCCTGGGCCAGGCCCGGTGAGTGTGTGGGAGAGCTTCCCACTACGCTGTGCACGCGGGACCTACTGGTCCTAGCCCAGGCGCAGCGCGGGTGAGACCCTCTTTCACCCCCTTGGGATGCCCCCCACCACTCCATAGTACCCCCCACCCCACCCACCGAGTAGGAATTTCTGTCACGTTCCGGGAACCCCCAGATCCAATCCTAGCCCAGGCCCAGTGAGTGTGTGGGAGAGCTGCCTCTCCTCCCTACTCTACCTTGTCCCCTCCAGACTCAGCTCAGGCCTGGCATACAGCCTGAGGTGGAATCCTGCAGCTGCAATCCCTGCAGAGAGAGTAGGAGACAGAACCACCCAGCTAGTCCAGCAGCAGAACATCTTGCCAGAGCGGCACAACAGGTTCACTCCCAAGGGCTGCAGCAGGAAGGAGCTGTGCACAGCAGCCAGACCCAAACCAGGCACAACTGGATAAATCCAAACTTTGTAGATTTGCACCTGAACTTCAGTAGGTGCTAAGGTTATAAGTGCACCAAAGATCTACAACAAAGGCCAGAAGACAGTGGTACTATCAGGTCTTTAACTCTTTCAGGAAGATACCTGGAGAGAGAATAGCTGGGTTGAATGGGATTTAACTACTTTTTAAGGAGTTTCCATAATGGTTGCACTGGGTTACATCCCCGCCTCAGTGCAGAAGAGAAGATTCCTTTCCCCACCTCACCAGCATTTGCTATTATCCAGTTTCTAGATGACAGCCATTCTTTCTGGAGTACAATGGAATCTCAGTGCTGTTTTAATTTGCATTTCTCAATGGCCAGAGATATTGAAACATTTTTTTTCATGTATTAACTGGCTATTTGTACTTCTGAAAAGCATCTATTCAATTGCCCATTTTTCACTGGGCCTTTTATTTTGGGTGCTAATTTTTTTAGTTCTTTATATATTCTAGATATTAGTCCTCTGCCCAATGAACAGCTGGCAAAATTTGTTCTGTAGGTTGCTTCTTCACTGCTGGTTGCTTCCTTTGCTGTGCAGAGACTAACATGATCCATTTGTTGATTCTTGGCAGTATTGTTTATGCAATCAGGGTTCTGTTCAGAAAGCCCTCGCACATGCCTGTCTTCAAGGGTTTTCCCCATTTTGTCTTCCAGTCAATTGTTTTAGCATTTAGACCTTTAAGTCATTTTTATTTTAGAGGGTGTGGATTTAATCCCTGCCCAAGAACAGCCAGCTTTCTCAGCACCACTTGTTAAAGAGATTATCTTCTGTCTACTGCATGGGTTTTGTTTGGCCCCTTTGTCGAAATACCAGACAGCTGGATGTGTCTGGGGTTGTTTCCGCCTCCTCTGCGCTGTGCCACTGAGCCGTATGTCTGTTTCTGTACCAGTACCATGCTGTTTTTACCACAGAGCTTTGTACTATAACCTCAAGTCTGGGATTGTGGTTTCCTGCTTTACCCTTGTTGCCCAGTATTGATTTTGCTATTCTGGGTCTCTTGATTCAATGTGAATTTTAAGTTTGCTTTCTCTAGTTCTCTAATGCTATTTTGATTGGGACTGCACTAAATCTGTGTACCCGTTTTGGGAGTATGGCCATTTTGACAGCATGGACTGCCTACCTACGAATAGGGGATATATCTCCTTTTGTTGAAGGTCTCTTCAATCTCCCTTTTCAGAGTACTATAGTTCTCCCTGTAGAGGTCTTTCACCTTCCTGTTTAATTTCTAAGGATTCAACTTCTCTTGATTTACTGTGAATGGTATTGCCTTCCTAATTTCTCTCAAGTCTTACTGTGCCTGTGTAATGGGAGAGGTCCATGACCTGACCAGCCACCTCAGAACTCTACCAAGCTGATCGTCTTAAACATTTAGGTGTAGCCATTTTCAACCACGCTCTGAGAAAGCCAGCTCTTCTAGAAGTTAAACCTTAAGCAATTAGGGCCAGCCAAATAGCTCAGCAGATTAAAGCGCCTGCTTAGGCAGATGCAGGGGCCAAGAGTTCAATCCGGGGCCTGCTGTGCCAGCCTCACCCCCAGGGTGTGCTGAGACAGCGATTGAGACTGGCCGTGTGGTGGTGGCATGCGCCTGTAATCCCAGCTCTTGGGATTGATCTATGTAGTGAGACCCAGTGAGACTGAAAATAAATGAAGTGATAACTGCTAAACAGGTTTATGTATAAAACAGGCTTCTGAGGTACAACTGGATGGACACTGTACTAAATCCTCATCTCTTGACATTTTCAGTAATATTCCAAAAAATTAAATTAAATTAAATTAAAAAGGGCCGGTCAGATAGCTCAGTTGACTAAAGCTCCTGTTTAGGCAGAGCGCAGTGGCTGGGATACGATTCCATGCTGCCGTGCCGGCCCCACCCCCAGGGCCCGCTGAGACAGCGATTGAGACTGTGCATGGTGGCATGTGCCTGTAATCCCAGTACTTGGGAGGCTGAAAACAGGAGGATCACTAGAGTCTGATCTGTGTAGTAAGACCCTATAGACCCTGTACTAAACACACACACATACAAATAAGAATAAGAATTATTCCACTATATCTCCTAACCTCATTTCTTAGATCCTAAAACCTTGATATCCAACAGTTTCTGGCTGTTTTAAAAGGTGCTGGGGTGTTATAGAAGAGACACTGCTATGTAGTCTGAGAAGGTGGCTTCAAAGCTCTGCCTCAGTTACAGGTTTAGTCGGCCTGATTAGATCTCTTATCTCATTCCCCCAGAAAAACTAAGCAAGGAAGTCAATCCAGATCTACATGATCCAATATGGTGGCCGTTAGCTACACAAGACTAATAAAGGCGTGAAATGTAGTAGTCAAGTTGAAGTACACTTCAAGTGTAGTATACACACTCAATTTTGAAAACTTATGAAAAAAATTTTATGATTCCATGTTGAAATAACTTTTTAATATGCTGAGTTAAATACATTAAAATTAAAAAAATAATCTGGAATAGAATAGTATGTTTACTTAAAGTTCAAAAACTAGCAGAATTAAGCTCTGTACTAGAATACATGAGTGTGACAGTACAGAGAAACAGGAATGCAATGGCACTGACGGGCTAAAGGGGGCTGCGAGGAGAAAAGGGCTACTAAACTGGAGAAGGCAGGCCAGAGTGCTCCTGTCTTGGTTTTGATGGTAGATGCACACTGTTCACAAGCATTCCTTAAATAGAAAAAATGTCTGTGGCGCTTGTCCCTGCATTTATATTTAAAAATAAAAGTATTGAGAAGAAAGAATACAATTGAGGTACATATGGTAAAAGGGCATCCTATTTGCAACTAACTCTCAAATTTTTCAGAAAGAACCATTATTCATTACTTCGTGTAAGAAATCAAGAAAGGAAGGGAAAAAATGGCATACACTAAGTAGAATGTTTTCATCTCCTTTTATTGAAGGAAATAGAAACTTGTGCTGCTGAGGTAGCAGACCCTCAGAGCATGACAAGGTGGTCCAAGGGGCTGGTACGACAAGCCACAGTGCTGGCCAAGCATCCTACCACGGCGGGAGGACCATGGCCACAGACTGCAGGAGGTAGCCAACATCCCAACTCCCAGTGCAAGCATTTCCATTTGCAGAGAGCTCGGCCATGCATCTTGAAAACAGGGTCACCTTACTGATACCCAGATAGGACATCATTTCAGGTCACCAAACCCAGCCCAAACTAACATACAGTATCAGATTTGGAGACCCCCTCCTTTGACTCAAATATTTAGACCAGAACACCTGAATTTAATCTTTCAGCAGTCCGTCCACGATGGAAAAAGAGGCGAATTCTTGAAATGTCACACAGCACAGGTGGACAGGTGCTGATGCCCAGCCTTGCTCTAAAAGTAGCTGCATTTTTTCCTCCTGACTTCTCACTGTGCTCTCACTCAGCATGTGCCTTTGGAAACTTCTCAGTGTTATAAACAAGGACAGAGCAGAGCAACAGCCTATGGGGTACAGGGAATCAGAAGCTGCTACACAGCCAAATCACTTCACAAGAAATAGCATGGGGAACATTATTGGGTCAAGGTCCTCCCAAACAGCTGCCAAAAGCATACACAAAGAAAAATGATAGTAGCTCTCCCATGTCCAGATCAGCTGCGCCAGTCGAGGTCTTGGACGCTGAGCACTTCACGTCCCTGGCAGATGATCAAACTCCACGGCACTCCGGAGCGGCTCTGGTTGGCAGGTACAATGTGGTACACTGGCAATCCACTCACAGAAGAGCAAGTACACAATTTGCAATCTCAACTGCAAATTGTGAATATTACCAAACACCAAATTGATATTGTCAAGAACTGGTTGTGGGGAGTGGGGAGCAGGGATGGTAGAGATTTTGCTATGGAGAAACAGAGATCCAAGATTTACACACTGTAAGTCCTTGGTCATGAAGCAACCTACATTCACAAATTGGAAGGAACTTCCTTATCTAGCAACAGTGACTACTGGATCAGTTGCTCAGTTCTCTTCAGTGCTGGATATATGGTTTCCAAAGATCACAGTCCTGAGAGCTCTAGATCAGGAGATGGGAGAAGCAGGGCAGAAGGAGGGTGCCTGGGGCTGAGATTTACTTCACAGAAGGCTTGGCACAATGCGATGGGGCTGAACGTGGTCTTAGTGATTGTTCTTGGTTGCCTCCTTTGCGGCAGCAATCAACGGAGTGAGGCTGGAGAGGGGCTTGGCAATCTTCAGGAACTGATGCTGTGGGGGAGAAACAGCAGAAGACATGTGACTGAGCCATTCCTAGGATCAGTGTTCACTGAAGGCCCTGTGCACACAGCTTCCACTCACCTCGAACCCAGGGTCTATGCGAAAACTGTTCTGGAAAACTGGCAGTAACCACTAACAGACAAACACACCCCCTGCACACTAGCAATTCCAAGCCTATGAATGTTCCCAGGAGAAATGCATTCATATAACTCCCAGAAGACATCTGGACGGCTTTACTTACAGTGCTAAATGGAAGTACCCCACTGTCCAAGAAAATGAATGTTCTATTCATATACATAAAACTATTCGGCAATAAAATGAACTGCTATACTGAGAAGATGAATCCCACAGACATGCTGAGTGACGAAGGCAGCGCAGAATTCACATGTGTGGTTCCCTTTCCCATTAGGGAAGACTGATTCACGGTAGCAGTCAGAACACAGCAGAACTCTATTCTTTCCACGATTCTGGTTGCAAACGGAGTTGGGTGAGAACTGCATCAGCGTCAATGGTTAGGTTCAATGTTGATCTTTTTTTTCTTTTAAGTACTGGGGACTAAACTCAGGACCTTCTGCTGAGCTGTCTCCCCAGCCCCAGTGTTGACCTTACGGGGAAATCTGACTCCGTTCTGTCCAATCGTGAAGAGAACTGAGTTCATGAGCTGAGGGACCACTATGACAATCACCTCCTGGGGAAAGACAGTGACTGCTCAAGATGCACTGGTAAGTGCAATACTGTATTTCTGCACCATTGGTCCAGAATTTTTTCTTAAAAAAGAGACAGTGTCTCACTGTCGTCCAGGCTCGTCCTGAATTCCTGGGTTCAAGCACTCCTCCGACCCCAGCCTCTGGAGAAGCTGAGACTACAGATGCACATCAACATCTGGCTCGGAATGTTGCTCTATCCTTGAGTCCATTAAGTCTAATTAATCAGTAGTTTGATCCTTTCCAAAATTATTTTCACTGGGCTATAATTTGGACCATATCGTCACTGTTGAACATGTTCATGATGGGCTATGATTCATACATTTTGTTGCTGAGTAGCTCTGAACCACTAGTGGCATAAGGCAGTGGAAACATGTTAAAATTTACTCTAAAAGTGTTAATTATTGAAACTGTCCTACCGATTTGATTCGAAACTGTCTCATTGCTATTTGTTTATCAATAAAATTATGGGGAAAAAAAACTGTACTCTAGCCCATAATCCCAGCTATTCAAGAGGCTGAGACAGAAGGATTGCAAATTTTAGGCTAATGTGGACAACTTAGTGAGATGCTGTCTCACTGGACACAAAAGGAGACTCATAGACCAAAAGGATAGAGGTTGTAATCCAGAGGTAAAGACAGGGACACTCCGAAGCGTTTCTGACACATAGCAGTATCCTGGGCCCTGCCCTGCCTGCTCAGTCAGCCTTGGGCCTCGTGATACAAAACCAAGTGGCAGTGTTTACACATCAATCACTGTCATGAAGCTGCGTGTGATACTATTACATTACCAGTCAACAGTACAGTAAAATGACACTAGATATAAGATTTTATTAATTGCAAATGGAGTGGCTTGCTATAGGCAGTTTTAACAACTGTATAAAGTAACTGTGCTTCAACATTTGGATTAGACAGGTGGGAGTTTTTATAAAAAGTGTGGTAAATTCTGGATTTTCCTGTGCCCTGGCAGGCTCTCACCCCAAACAAGTAGAATTATCACTGCTAGGGCTTCTTAGCTAGAAACTTCGAAGATTCCAAAAGAAGTACTCATTGTCTTCTAAATTTATGCTCCTTTCCTGAAAATACGTCTTTCATGTTTATCGCAATAAAATGTAATGTGTAAGATTTAACTTTTCAGAGAGCTGCTTCCCATCAAGCACAAACAAACCTCCCAGGCTAATTCAGGCCAAACCAAGGGAAGTGCTAAAGGAAGACACAGGCAAGGCTCAGCATGAGCCCAGAAAGTAGAATGGAAGCGCAGCCTAAGAGGGCCTGTCGGGTTTAATGGGCTAAGAAAGGCACTAAGGGAGTTTTATGCCTAACCGCGGGGGGGAGGAATGGGAAAGTACGAACGCAGAGGAGCGTGGGAAAGACGGAGAGCCGCTCAGCTCCGCGATACACAGAACACGAAGCACAAGCGGCACCGTCTCTGCAGAGGGGGCTCACCTGCAGCAGCTCTCTGGCTGACCCTCTCTTCTCCACGTCCATCTCAAGACAGCGGTTCAAAAAGTCTCGGAAGATAGCTGACAGCTTCTCCGGGTTCTGAAGCTCTGGGGTCCCATTGGTGGCAATGAGGTACAAGGCCTGGCAATGTAAGTGGAGAATCACTTTGAGCTCCAACTGGGGTTCTCTCGTCCCCAGATGCACCCTCTAAAAATATGGCTGGCTGCTGTAGGATCAGAGAGGCAGCTGTAGTATTCTAGAAAGAATCTGACCCAAGGAGCAGGCTTAACCCTTAAAGGCTATATGGTCCCGTGCAGGCTGCTGACACGCGACTTCTTTTTAGTGCCTGTCTGGATAGTAGAAAGCTCTTTGTAAACATAAAGTGAGTCACAGACCTAAGGGTTTATTATTACTCATCATCATGGACCAAAGGTGTTTATTATTCACTTAGCCTGATGAGCTAAACATCTGCCTAGCTGCAGGCAGAAATTATCCCTGGTGTCTTCACCTCAGTATCCAAGAGCTGATCTTTTCTGGTATGAGAAACTGTAGAAAGGAATGTTCAGTTAAGCAGCAAACTATTTTACTGTTGTCTCCCTGCTCCTAATACGAAGCCTCTCTTTGGAAGGGTAAAAGCACAGAACTTTACAAGTTAAGCTGAGCACTTTAACTCACTAGGTACATGCAGTATGTGTGCCACGGTGATTCTGAGAAACAGACAGGACAAGACTGTCACACCAGTGCACCGATCAGGCTCAGAAATACAACTTGTGTGCCCAGGGTCACACCATCCATGCACGTGCAGATCCCTCATCCCAAGCTCACACCCATCCCAACCCCCTGACCATCACCTTCAAACCTGCGGCACCATTCTAAGGCAGAGAAGGACGCAAGCTATGTGGTCAGAGAGCAAAGCCGGCACCAAAGGCTGGAGACTATGGAAAGTAGTTTCAGTTTGGTGCACAGAAGCACTCTATGAATCAGAGCTCTCCGAGAGTGACACAAGCATGTGGTGGTGACAATGCACAGGAAGGAAGGCTGGATTACACGACACAACAAGAGCGATCAGAAGAGTTTTCACGTGTGCACACAAGCAGCCCCACCGCTGGCTGGCATCTTTGCTGCTGCGCTCTGCGCTCCTTTCCTCTCACGACGGACAAGCTGTCCGCGAGCTAACACAGTGTCCTTCACGTGACGCAACCCCTCTCTTCTCCTTAAGGGCATCACTCTTGAAGACGTCACTTCTCTCCTGTACATGATCATTTTTTTCCTGTCCACTGCTCATTCCCAAAAGCAAAGAAACTTCGGACCCACCTTCCCTGCTTCATGACAGTACTTCTGTTACCCTTCAAAGCAAGACTTCTTCAGGAGAAAAAAGAAACTGTTTATAAGGGCTGCCTCGATTTCCTCTTCTACTTCCATCGATTTATTCTAAGTAAGCTTTCATCCCTTCACTGGTAACAGTTAAGGTCACCAATAACCTCCACACTGGCAAACACAATGGTCATCTCTCAAGTGCATCCTACTCAGTTACCAGTCCCATTGGGCACACGGCTCCACCTCCCTTCGGACACTGCCCTCTGGCTCCCTGCCACCTGCCCTCAGCTCTCCCATGCCAAGAGGTCCTTCCTTGCCCTACTCTGCACACACTCAATAGCCTGCACTTCTACCTACTAGTAAACTTATGTATGCAGTTCCGACCTCTCACTCTTAAACTCCAGATCCAGCTCTTGCCAACATCTCCATTCGAATATCTAATGAGTATCTTTAAGTAAGACATTCAAAATCAACTATGAAATAGGAGATGGGGTCCAAGCGATGGAGGGAGGGGAAGGCAGAACAGAGGAAGGAGATAAAAAAAAAAAAAAAGGTGCATCTAGTACATGCACCAACTGCCCATGATGAACATAACCATCATGAAACACCATCATGTTCTGATGAGAAAAAGTCAGCTTACCTATGCTCCTCAACATCTCGACAAATGGCAGTTGAAGTTTTCAGCAATTATGGCATAAAAACCTGACAGTTATCGCTGATTCAGCTTTTTTAAATGTTCAATTCATCATATTAGCTATTCCCTCAAGACATTTCCTGAATCTTTTCACTTCTACTAATACCAGTATCATGCAAGTGGCCGCTCTTGTTTAAACCATTCCGACAATCTCTTACAATTTTTCCACAGAAGTAGTCAAAACCCTACAACAAATTCCCAACTTTGCAGAATGAAAGCTAAGTTCTCGAAATAACCTAGTACTCTTAGCTGCTGGTCTCCTGCTAGTTCTCTGACTCTGGCAACCATCTACTCCCTTCTCTCATTTCAGGGTCACAGGCCTTCTAGTCTTCCTCAGGATATAGTGAGCACATTCTTTGCATTTGTATTTTAAGCTCAACAGTGGTTAGTTTTATTTACAAAAGGTATAACCAGGCTGAAAGTTATGGAGGAAAACAGTCTGAGTCCCACATCCTGGAACCAGAAGCGACAACCCGAATGACAGGACGGGTGACACTTACTCTCAGAGGGTTCTCATTGAGATATGGGGGCTCTCCTTCAATCATCTCAATGGCCATGATGCCCAGTGACCAGATGTCCACCTTGGGTCCATACGCCTTCCGTGTCACAACCTCTGGTGCCATCCAGTATGGAGTTCCCACCATGGTGCTCCGCTTGCTCTGCTCAGGAGTAATTTGTGCACAGAATCCAAAATCAGCTAGAAAATGGGGGAGAAAGACAGACGTTCAGGATACCCTTCAGTGAGTGCTGACTTGGGCCTGCCCCCAGTTGTTACTCTGCCTGCCTCTGGCTCTGCAGTCTCTTTCTTCACCAAGGCAGGAGGCACTGGCCTGTCACCTTTGCATCTAGACTCCTAAACCTAGTCTATGTTCATTCCTGAGGAGATGCAGGCATGACACAGGGCATGATCTCTGGTTTCCTACTTCTGCTCAGATCGGAAGGACTCAGCACTGATGTCCAGTAAGCCTATTTTGGCCATGACTATTTTCTCCCTATTCTGCTTTATTCCTGAAATCAACATTCCATGTTTAGATTAGACCCAGCAATAGGACATTTAACTCTTCACCTTATTACTTCCCCACCTCACCTCCCACTAGGCAGGGCCTGTCTACCATTTTGCCCCCTAGGGGCCCAGGCCAGGGGCTGTGAGGAGTCCTCTTTTAAACTGCTCATCCATCTAAAACAGCTGTGTGTCTAAACAACTGCAAGCTCTGTTTGCAATTCTTTTTATATTAAAATTACAAATTTATGTAAATCAGGTGTACTCTCAAAGGAACTGGCATGTACTAGGCATGCAGAAGCATGTTTGGCAAATACACAATGCATTAATGAAATGTCATAAAAGCCCTTTCAAATTATTCATTACAAGTCTTTCATAGAGAGAGAAAGGTCATATAAGACATATGATTTAGAAAAACGTAACAGAAAATCAACTAATCCTATTCCCTCTTTTTGGGGGATGTTGGTAGTGAGGATTAGACCCAGGGCTTCCTGCAACCCTTTCATTTCAATTTGAAATAATGTCTTGTTGAATTCCCAGGCAGGTCTCAAATTAGTGATCCTCCTGCCTCAGTGGCCACATAGCCAAGGCATGTGCCATCACACTCAGCACTAAGCCCCTTATTTTAAGATAAAGAAAGAATTCCTTGAAGGTGTAACCCCAGGGCAATCCTACGATCTAGCACAGAGTAGGGAACTCAGGGGGAAAAAGGCTGAATGTATAAAATGGAAAAATAAAATAATAATAAACACTCTATGCATAATACAGAGCCCAAACTATCCCAGAAACAACAAAGACTGATGAATGCTGTAGCCGCTATCAGATGATTACACTTCACAGAAGACAAGACCCCACTGGTAGGCCATTCCTACTCACTTAGCTTGACAGAGCCATCCATCCCCAACAGAATATTGTCACTCTTGATGTCTCTGTGAATGACCTGGTTTGAATGCAGAAACTCCAGAGCTTGTAGACACTATTGAAATGGTGGGGGTAGAGAGAGAAAGGCTACATAAGACATACAATTTAGAAAATATACGAGAAAGTCAACCAGTCCAACTCTCTCTTTTTGGGGGTGTTGGTAGTGAGGATTAGACCCAGGGCTTCCTGCAACCCTTTCATTTCAATTTGAAATAATGTCTTGTTGAATTCCCAGGCAGGCCTCAAATTTGTGATCCTCCTTCCTCAGTGTCCACATAGCCAAAGCATGTGCTATCACACTCAGCACTAAGACCCATATTTTAAGACAAAGAAAGGAAGGCCCTAATCTATGAAAGGACTTGCCCCAAATCAAAGACAGAGCCACATCTAGAACCAAGTCTTTAAGCATTCTTAGAACACTTCATTTTTCTATTTATCAAGAGGATAGTTCCCTTACACAAGGAGATCCTCTGATGTATTTCATGTTTGGAAAGCAAATTTATGACAGCAGACTCACAAGCAGTGGGTTACTTGGATCTTATCTTGGTAAGGAGACAATTTACCCTATTTTGGATATGCTGAGTTACACATATCTATGAAACACCAAGACAAATACCTAGCAGGCAAATTAACTTTCAAATCTCAGGTTACACACAGAGGTAAGTATTTACAGGACATTTCCAATAAGGTGTTTTTTGTTTTGTTTTGTTTTTTCTTTTTGTTCTGTTTTGTTCTTGTTTTGACAGTGGGGAGCTAGCCCTGGGCAGTCCACATGCTAAGCAAACACTGTACCACTGAGCTTACCTCCTGCCCCCAGACAGACAATTTTCTAAGTTTTAGGAATGTCTGAAATAGGCAAAGCTTGTGAAAAAGGGAAGAAAATACCTAAATTTATCAGGCAGGATGAGTGAAAAAGAATAGTGATACTAAAATGCCTGGTTCTGCTACTTTCTAACTGAACATATCATTCAAATCACTTTCTCTGGTTTACTGTTTTCCTGTCTTTAAAATGGGGTCTGAGCTGAGATAATCTTGGTTCCTATATAAAATGCAACAATTTTAATGCATTAACCCAAAATTAAATTTTTGTAAGTCCAACAATTAAAAAATACTATAGATACAAGTCAATAGAACCTATTATCTAAATGGTCCTGATTTAATGCTTTACTTTCTAAGAATATGCTAATGGATAAATTAAAAATATATTAATGACAATAATTGGATTTTCTTCCTCAAAATAAGGGTTACTGGTAGGAGGCAGTTCTTTAGATGGTAAAAATTATGATCCAAAGGATGACCTTGAGATACTGGACCCCTCACACACATTGTTAGCAGAAACATAAGATGGTATACACTTCAGAAAAAAGTTCTGTAGTTCCTCAAAATATTAAATAGAGTCACAATGTGACCAATAAATTTGACTTATCTGTACATATCCAAGAGAGAAATGAGAATGTATGCCTACACAAAAACTAGCATGTGGAATTTCATAGCAGCATTTTGCACAAGGGGGTGGTTGGGGGAAGAGGAGGAGAGACAGCATTAAGTACATTAACTATAATGCAATTAGAAAGAAAAAAAGAATCCAAACATCAGTCAGGCCTGGTGACAATTACTGTCAATATGGAGTTTTCTTCTGCAGTGATACAAATGATCTAAAATTCATTATTATGGTGGTTGTACAACTCTAGGAATATAGTAAAAACCAGTGAGTTATACACCTTAATGGGTAAATTACATGGTATATAAATTACATCTCAAAGGCTGTTTCAAAAGGCAGGTAATGGTCTCTATTGGACTTTTCTTTTTTTTAATTTTACTTATTTGTGTGTGTGTGTGTGTGTGTGGCCAGCTTAGCCCACCAGGGGGCGGGGCTGGCTGGCAGGTGGTGCTGGGGGATTGAACCTCGGTCCCTGTGCTTTGCTAAGCTTGTTCTAAGTAGGTGCTTTAGACCACTGAGCCATCTTACCAGCCCCTCTATTGGACTTTAATAATAATAATACCACCTGTTTGACATTTAAAACTTTTCAAGTGTTTTCGCTTAAGGTGCTACCTTAACACATTTAATGCTCATTATAACCCATTAGAGCAAATTATTGTGACCCCCATTTTACAGACAAGAAAACTGAGGCAAGAGAAATTACACAGGTTGCTCACAGATCACAAAGTAAGATCAACTTTTTCCTGTGCTGGAAATCAAACCCAGAGCCATGCATGTGCCATCCAGGCGTGCCACCACCAAGCCACACAACAAGCGCCCAGTTGCTTTTGGATCCATGTAGCACCCCTAAGGTGATACAGTGTGAATGTCTCAATTTCCGCATTATTGATGAATAATTTGAAGAAAATAATCCCCCCCCCCAATGCACAAGTGCATATATTCTCAACAAATGAAAGCTGGCCACTGGGGTTGGAAGTGAAAACAACTTTCATACTATAGTGCTTTGCATACAATTATACATCTGTAGTACTGAAATGCATACAATTATACATCTGTAGTACTGAAATTTCATGGAAGCAATATAATTAGAAAAAAATCTAAAAAGGCTCTGTAGGGAGGAGCTACCAAAAGCCAGTTGAGAAATAAATATCTCATTAGTGAGCTCTTAATTATGAATCCTAGCCTTGTATTAATTCTATTAACCTACTTTTGTACATTCTATATCCCTAAGTTGTTAATGCAAATGACTATGAATTTTCTACAGCAGCACAGATTTCATATTATTTTATTTTTCTTAACACTGACTAAATATACAGTGCTTCTAGGTGCTGAACCATGAAACCCTAATCAAACTGTTATATTCCTCCAAAATGATGAACCTCAGCTGGGTATGGCGGTGCATACCTGTAATCCCAGCACTCTAGGTGTCTGAAGAAAAGAGGGTCACAAGTAGGAGCCCAGGCTGGGCACCTTAGTGAAACCCTGTCTCAAAATAAAATGCTGAGAACAAAGGAGGGTAGAAGAGGAGGCAGCGAAAGAAGCAGAAGGGGAGGAAGAAGAGGAAAAGGAGGGGGAAGAAGAAAAACTAAACAAAACAAAACAAGAAACCCTCATTTACTCTTTTACCCTTTCCCTAACTTTCTTACTTTTCTATCAGGTAATAGAAAGTCCCAGTTTCTCAAGAGCAAAACCCTCAATATCTCTGAATATATCCTTCACCCTTTCAGACACCTGGAAATGAGGTAGCCCCAAAAGATACTGCTTCCCAGGAAAGGGCTCTAGGGGACTTTTTATTCTGTAGAACAGCAGAATGAAACTACAACTAAAATATATGTCTATATAAAAGATATAAAAGAAAATATAACGTATTTACAAGTTATCAATATAAATTGAACTTATGAACAATGTGTTTAAGTATATACTCTCTGTCAGGCATGGTGCACGTCTGTGATCTCAGTTACTTGGGAGACAAAGGCAGAAGGATGGGCAAGTTTAAGCCCAACCTGGGCAACTGTGCAAGACCTTTGCTTAAAATTTAAAAATTACACATAAAGGCCTGGGGCTATACCTCAATGCAAAGGCTCTGGGTTTCTCTCTCTCTCTCTTTCGCGCTCTGTCTGTCTGTCTGTCTGTCTGTCTGTCTGTCTGTCTCATTATTTTCTACTTTTTCTACAATGGGCAGAACAAAGTTATCTTTAAGGAGAAACTCACTATAAAAATTTTAAAATATAGGCACAATACAAGAACGATGACAGTATCCACATTAATTTTCCCCATTTCCACAGAGCCCAGGTGTGGACTCTCCTGGACAGAGACACGAAGGCAAGCCCTGCTCACAGTTGCCTGGCCCTGGGCCTTACCTCACGACACACAGCAGCAATCTGGCCTTCATCCATACAAGTTTCTGTCACCACATCTGTCAAGGAGCCTCCAGCCAAGTATTCCATGACAACCCACAGCTCGTCTCCCACAAGGTAACTGCAGGAATACCAATAAAGGGCGAAAAGGAGGAATCAGTGCACAAGGAGCCACTGCATTAGGCTATAAAGACTGAGCCCAAAGAGTGAAATCATCTCAGTGAACTCTGGAAAGACCTGAAGGTCTTCATTTTGGAGAAGAGCAGAGTGATGGGGACAGTAATACTACCTTTAAATCTCTTAAGGATGCTTCCAGATAAATCAAAGCATACATGTTCCATGAAGCCCCCAAAGGGTAGAACTCAAGAGCACCAGGATGAAAATGCAATAAAATTATATCTCACCACAACACAAAGGAGTAACTCACGAAAGACCAGCATAAATCCAGACCTCTCAAAGCATCCAAGTAGGAAATATGCAAACATCTGATGAGATTTGGATCCTACTGTGAACAGTACAGACAACTGCAAAATGTCACAGAGTTCTACGAGACCTGAAATCTGTGAGATTGATTAGAGGGTCTGGTCCACTACTTGACCCCCGAGAGGCCAGCACAGCAGATGCCAATATTTACTGAATAAATCCACAAGTACAAAAAGAGATAACTGCATATATTAGATGAAGTGGTGGTAATAGAAGTTGTTTAAAAGATATAAAGTGTTATACACACAGACATTATGCTGACAATGACTTCTACCTTTACTGTCTTTAATTCTGGCCTTGTCTGTATGTCAAGGTCATAGTTTAATGACAGATTCCTCACAGAACTTATGGGCTGACAGGAGTTAGACCTGAGAGTTTTGCGCAGGGACTGTATTATTCAGGCTTGCTTGGTGATAAAGAGAAGGTTGCTTAATCTGTCAGGACAATGTTTCCTCACAACAAACAGCAAACAAGGTTAGCGCAAAGCCCATTCAAGACTCTCCTGTAGGGGGCCTGCCCATTAGCTCAGGTGTTTAAGTGCCTGCTTAAAAATGCAGTGAGGCTCAATTTCCACTGGTTCGAACCCAGATACCCCAGCCAAACCAGAAATGGCCTGAGGGTATATTCAAGCCTCCAAAAAAAGACTCTTCTGTGACCTTGAACACAGAAGTTAGGTTGGGAAAAGACATTTCTTGGGTTGTCTTGAGTTGTGAGATCTTTTCTTACTTGTAAAAGGCAGCTGCTGTTGGGCAGACAGGAAAACTGTGCAACAATTTTGACAAATGGTCTCAAGCAAAAGATAAAATAAAGAGTCTTGGACTCTTGACTATTAATCTAGAGCTCTTTCCATCTGACTTTTCTTCTTTCTTTCCTTTGTGTTTGTTTTTGATTTTTTCTTTTTGTTTTGCAGTACTGAGGAAAGAACAGAGGTCCTTGCATGTGTCAGGTAAGTGTTTACACTGTTTAAAAACCCTTGCCAGACAGACTTTCTGTAGCCTTTTCTTGGATTTCTATGGTCTGAGTGTTTATTTCCCCAAAAGATTCACAACAAAAATGTAAGTGAAAAAAAAAAATCTAACTGGGCTAGGCATGGTGATTTATTGTCTGTCTGTCTGTCTGTCTGTCTGTCTGTCTCATAATCCCAGCACTTGGGAGATCGAGGCTGGAGGATAGCTGCAAGTTCAAGACCAGCTTGAAGGGGGAAAAAAATCCACTTATTCTGCTGGTCTCAGGAGGTGGTGTGGCTTTGGGAGGGGGTTAGAGTATAAGTGCAGAGTCCTCACGAATGAGACAAGTGCCCTTCTAAAAGGTCGCCGAGAAGGCATGACCTATGAACCCGACAGGTAGCCCTCACCAACAGTAAATGTGCTGGCGCCTTGATCTTGGACTTCCTAGGTTCCAGAACTATGAAAAATAAACCTCGTTGTTTATAAGTTACCTAGGCTCTGAAATTCCAAAATAACAGCCTAAATGGTCAATAACATGAATCAAATCCAGGACTGGGTAAAATTCCTCCACTGCCCAGAGCCGATTCTTACTTGACGAAGAGCCCATTTCATGGCCTCTCACTCACCTGCTGAGAAAGCACCCGCTAGCTTAGATGGAAAAAAGAGGAAAGGAGCCACGTGACTGTTTCTCAGCACTGGCAAAGCATGCAAGGTCAGACAAAAACAGTGCAAACCAGACCCAGGTTACCTCAGACGGTCTGCGCTTACACACTGTATCAGTGCCCCTTCAAAAATCCCACCTCAAAATGAAGCCCCAGGACATCACCATATCTGAAGGGCAAATCTGGATGTAGTTCTCAGGACATCTCACCAAACTGCAGAACCTCAACTGCAGGGCTTGCACTAAATACTCAGGTGAGGGGCACCCCCTTCTGTGCTCGTGAAGAGGCATCCTTTTCTATACTACACCAGCATGGTGGGTATCATGGCATGTGCCTATAACCCAGCACTCAGGGAGTCTCAGGCAAGAGGATCACAAGATCAAACCCAGCCTGTGCAACTTAGTGACTTAGTGACACTCTGCCTCAAAAAAGGGGTAGAGGGGTGCTAAAGATACAGCTCAGTGCAAAGACCCTGTATTCAATTCCTAGTACCACAAAACAAAAAATAAAAAGTAAATCATAACTTAGAAGATTCTTCAGAGCCAATTAAGACCCATTTTCAAGAGATTACAATCATCTGTAAGGTTTTATTCTGTATGGCTAGCAACATCATGTATCATAAGGAAGGTCAAAGTCGAACTCCTTTTCTCTTTAGCAAATCTGAAGATCATCAGAGTATTTCAGATGCTGAACAAGAAAGGGTATTTATGAAATATGCTACACCAGAGAAAGGTAATTGATAATGTAGTACAGTAATAAAGAACTCAATTTAAAGCTTAGTTCAGTTATCTACCTATGACATCTCTGAAACTTGGACAAAAAAATTAAACATATGTTAAAAAAATACTACTAAGCATTACATTTTAAAAGCATAAAGTCAAACCATGAGTTATTCCAGAGGATGAAGAAAGATTTTCAGGGGCCAGGGAGATAGCTCAGCAGCATGAGCGCCTGCCCAGCAAATGCAAGGTCCTGAATTCAATCCCCAGAACAAAAAACAAAACAAAAAATGTGAATTAAGGACCAAGATGTTTGATTAGGCGGATGACCAGAAGGAATTCCCTGACACAGAACAAGCAGTACTAGCATCAAATGTGAGCTTAACCCACAAAGACTTTTTTAGCAATCCAAGTGTTGAGCAATTTGTAAGGTTGGATTTAAAGCACTCAGCACCACAGAAGATACTCAGGCCAAGGCAGTCCTGTGAGCCAGCATTACTTTCTCCTTTAACCCTTGGGTCCCAAAGACGCCATCCCTCTGACAGACCCCCCATCCCATACCTGTCCAAGTAGTTGACAATGTTTGGGTTTTTGTTTTCCCTCATGACCAGGATCTCATTAATAATGAGCTCTTTCTTCGGCTGCTGCTGAAGATTCATCTGCTTAATGGCCACCTGAAATCACAAGGCATGTGATGTGCACGCAGAATCATTCAACACTTAAAGCACCAAGGAAACAAAGACAAGTAAGGTACAGTTTTAGCTGTCAAGTGCGTCACCATTTATCAACGTTAAACAAATGCTTCTCCAAATGAAGTCTCCAAGCAGCAGCACCAACATGGGAGAAATGGTTGAAAATGAGCATTTTCAGGCCTTACCCCCAAACCCACCAAGTCAGAAACCTGTTTTTTTTTTTTTTAGAAACCTGTCTTCATAAGCCCTGTAAATCATTCTGATACACATCAGAGTTTTAGTTTCAAACTTAAATGTGGAATACTTTAAAAAAAAATCACAATGTAAAAGAACATGCTACAAGAAGAGTTCACACAAAGTCCCACAGAAGCTGGGAGTGGTGGCCCATGCCTGTAATCTCAGTACTAAGGGAGGCTGAGAGAAGAGGATTGAAAAGTTTGGGTCAAGGTACTGATGAGGATGACCCCACCGCTGACGACACCACTGCTGCTGTCAACGAGGAGATGCCACCCCTTGAAGGAGATGACGACAGGTCGCGCAGGAAGAAGTCGACTGAGCTCGGCCCGAAGAACCACTAATGCGCGCTCAGTGCTTTAACCTTCATTCCCTCTGATAATATGTATTTTTGAGGATTTTTTTGTTAAGTCTGTGTGGCATGATAACTGCTTTTAAGGGGAAGATAAGATTTCTTTCTACTTTTAAGTAATACTGTGATATTTTAGGCAATAAAACAGCTCGCAGTGCTTTCTCGAGTTTCACCTTGGTTTATTTTAACAGGTTGACATGTTTGTGGTAAGATGTAACTTAACTATTAACTTTGTGAAGTCTGAAGTGCTTTGTTACCAAGCCAGATTCCTTAGTAGACCAAATCTTACGTCTCTGAAATGCTGAGATTCTCTGATGTTTAAAGGAATATTTAAGATAACTTTACTTTTCTTATAGGATCTTTCTTTAAACTTTCCCCAGTAGTTTCAGATCCGCCTGCCTAGGCTTCGAGCAGTATGGTATACTGAAAACTTGATGGCAGGGGCTGCATGGGCTTGTTTTCCAAAGAAAAGTACTGTTTCAAGGGAGAGACAACTTCTAGGGATACCGCAGAGCTATTTCAAAAACCATTCGGAACAAGGCCTGTGAATGGAAGTGAGTGCCCAGGTCACATTCTGCTAAGATGTAATAAATACAGCTGAGTTATTAAAAAAGAGAAAAGTTTGAGACCCGCATAAAGATTCTGTCTGAAAAAAAAAATGATCTGGGATGTAACTCTTTGGTACAGTGCTCCTAGGTCCATTCCCAAGTCCGGGCTTGGGGTGGAGGTGGGGCAGGGGGCCACAAAAACACAAAACAACTCTCATCTAGAATCTGGAAACGTATATACACTTCCACAGGGAGGGGGCTTTCTGAACATGGTGTGGAAAGACAAATCAAGTTGATTAAGAAAGAAGAGAAAAGGAGAGCCTTACTGTCTTATATGAAAAGGATCTTGGTAAGATTCTTTTGTCTATATATGGTCAATAAAACAAATGTCTCCCTAATACAGTGCAAGGCGTTCTTTAATCTTCAAGGCACTTGGCATTCGTGTGTTCTATGTGTTAGGTATTACGGAAGGGGTTCTCAACTTTGTTACTGTACCAGTTCTCAGACACAACTTGTATGCAAAGTAGGACTTTCACTGGATGAAGAAAATGTGATTCCAGGAGGGCATGTGACTTGCACACACAGCTAAAAAAAGTCAGAATTAGAACCTTCAAAACTTTGTCTTATTCTTGTTTTATCCTGCACACAGAGCCAGATTAGTTTTTCCTCACAGTACAAATGTGCTGTCTCTCCTGTTCCAAGACACATGCACGGCTCTTGGTTCTCTTGAAATATTCCTCGACATTCCCACGACCTGATCCAGACCCTTTCTTCCTATTCTATTCCTTCCTGTGTGCAAGGCTTTCCTCCCCTTGTTCTGGATCTTCTTTCCACTCGAAATACCTGTCGCTTCCATACATACAAAGCTACTTATGCCAAAGCATATGTACCCAAAGAAAATCTCATTCTCAAACCAAATATACTTTTTTCTCTTTAAAAGCCCTTTAAGGGGCTGGCCAGATAGCTCAGTGGACTAAAGCGCCTGTTTAGGCAGAGTATAGTGGCAGGAGTTTGATCCCCCGCATGCCGTTGCTGGCCTTGCACCCAGGGAGAGCTGAGACAGCAATCCAGACGGGCCTGGGGGCATGCACTGGCCAGTCTCATAGTAAAACAATCACTACGAGTCCAATCTACACAGTGAGGCTCTATAGGCCCTGTACCAAATACATAAAGAAGGAAAGAAGGAAGGAAGGAAGGAAGGAAGGAAGGAAGGAAGGAAGGAAGGAAAGAAGAAGGAAAGAAGGAAAGAAGGAAAGAAGAAGGAGAGAAAGAAAGAAAGAAAGAAAGAAAGAAAGAAAGAAAGAAAGGCAGGCAGGCAGGCAGGCCGGCCCTGTAAGGAGCCAGGGATATAACTCAGCGGCACAGCAATTACCTGGCAAGTACAAGGTCCTGAGTTTGATTCCCAGTATTAAAAAAAAAAAAAAGCCCTGGAAGAACATACATCTCTCTTATGCAACTTATGACATGCAAACTTGTATGAAGATTAATTGAAAATGTATGTGTACACGCATGTGTGCACTCACTAACTTGTCAATGTGTGAAATGTGGAGCTTGATTAAAAGCCCAGAAAAAAGAAGACAAGACAGAAAAAGAAAGCAGGCAGTGGGTTAAGTGCTTTGTTTTTAAACCACAAAAACAGAAAAGAGAAAAAAAAAAAAAGTAATAGGCTACTTTTCTAAGTATTTATTCCCTAGCAGTACTTCGTTTTTCACTGTTCATTGAGAAGAATATGAGAATCTAAAAGAACTAAGTTGTCCTTCCAGAAGCAGCAAGAAGTGTAAAGACTGGTTCAATTTATTTCAGTCAATCATGAAGAGGAAAAATTATCATTTTAAACATCTGTCCACTTTCATTCCCTACTGCAAGTGAGAAAAAGTTGCTTTTCCTAGTAACTCAGGATTCTGGTCTAGCTGCAGCTTTCTACAAGCAACAGTTGAGGACAGTTTTTCCTTGTGCCTGAAAAGCAAAATATTTATCTGAAGGCAGTAAGGACTAGAACCCAACAACCATGAGCAGAGCCGGAAGGGCCCCTTCGGCGCTCCTCAGCCTGCCCCGGAGGATGGAGTAAGGCGGATGGAGCGCCTCAGCATGGCAGAGGTCCCCGCAGGAGCAGGCAAGCCGGGCAGGCACAAGGAGCCCTCTCCAGCCCTACTGTGCCCAGGCTAAAGGTCCTTACCTAATACAACCCACCTTACTCGGGGTGAGTGCTCCACTAACAGAAAAAGACCTTCATTCACTCTAAGGACCTGGGCTCTGCGCCTGTCACGGGCTGACTTTGATGAATCATGAACTGATCCCCGCCCTGAAGCGGCTGCTGTGAGTACTAAGACAATGGTCAATGTGTGATTGTAAGTAAAGGATTTAACAGAGACCACAAGGAAGAAACTGAGCATGGTTACTGGGCATTTGACAGTAACTGGCACAGAGCAGAAAGATGACAACAGCACCAGTAACAACAGCAACAACCAAATACTCTTCAACCACCACTGTTTATTTTTATTCTGTAATTTTTATTTTATTTTGAACAGTAAAAATAAACAAAAACAAACAGAAAAAGGACAGAAACAGGGTAACATACAACAATGCATGTTACAGATTTTCAAAACAGGAATAGCTAACAATGGTTGTTATATATAATCTATTTTTATCTTCAAATCTGTTGCTCAGATTAACAGATAATAGTTATACAAGATTGGGGAAATAATTGAATATTGGTGCTTGCTTTCAAGAAATCTTAATTTTTTTCCTCATCTTTTTAAAATTTATTTTACATGTCATCCTTATGCAGGGGCCATGCTAATCTTCTCAGTATAGTTGCAATTTTAGTATATGTGCTGCCAAAGCGAGCACGATTTTAGAGATAGTATAAGACATTAGGAACTATACACATTTAGAAGGCCAAGATGGGAGACACTCAACCATGGGTTTTGTATTACACACTGCTGTCCCTGATGTAGCTGCTCAGATGGCAGATATCAGCATAGAGTTAGTCAAGGGGAAAATACTACACATTAACTGTTATTTTCAAAAAAACTGATGGAAATTTTGAGTACAATCATCTCAGCCATCCTGTATATATACTTGCACGTTTTTCCCTCCTTTCTTTTTTCCCATATTTTCTCCTTTCTTTCATTTTCATTATTTAATCCTTAAGTTCAGTTTCTTTCCATTTTACTCTATCTATTATACCATTCAGGTTTTATTTATTCTTTCAGGTTCTTATACTAGGGAGACAATATGACCTTTACATATATGAGTCTAATTTATTTCACTTATCAGTATAGTCTCTAGTTGCATTCACTTACCTATAAAGAATTCAAATTTGTCTTTCTTTATAGCTGAGTAGTACTCCACTGTATAGAAATAACACATCCTTTTCATTTACTCCTCAAGTGATGACATTTTGGTTGTTTCCAAGATTTGGCTATAACAAATTGTGCTGCTATAAACATTGGTGCACATATATCACTGTGGTTTGATGTTTTCAGTTCTTTTGGGAAAATATCCAGAAGGGAATAACTGGATTGAATAGGATTTCCAGTCTTAGTTTTTTGATGAGTCCCCACACTGATTTCCATAGTGGTTGTACCAGTCTACATTCCCACCAGAAGTGGAGAAGGGTTCCTTTTTCCCCACAGCCTCTCTAGCATTTGTTATTAGTTGATTTCTTTATGATAGCCATTCTTGCTAGGGTGAGACGGTATCTCAATGTTGTTTTAATTTGCATTTCTCGAATGGCCAGTCCTATGGAACATTTTTCATATTTTTATTTGCCACTTGTATTTCTTCCTCTGAAATGTGTGTACTCATCTCAGATGCCAAATTTTTGGATTGGGTCTTTAAATTCTGGGGACCAATTTTTTTTTTGTTGTTGTTCTTTATATAATTTAGATAGAAGCCCTTTGAGTGATGGTTGGTTATGATTTTTCCCCAATTTGAACCACTACTGCTTACTGAACGGCTCCTGTGTGCCAGGCTTTTGTGTTAGGCACTCTCACGTTATCTCAGTACAACCTAACCACTCTGTGAAGTGAAAATCATCACACATCTTCAGGTAAGGACACTAAAGCCATAGCTTCTATGAAAATTACCTAAGATCACAACCAAGCCCCCTAGCTCACGTGACTCCAAAGGCTCTTTTGCTGTGTTTCTATTTCTACATACTTTGCTTTTAAAAACAGGCTTGAAAAATCTGGGTATGGTAATGCACACCTGTAATCCCAGGGTTCCAGAGGCTGAGGCATGAGGTTCACCACTACTATGAAGCCAGCCTGGGCTACAAAATCAGTTCAAGGACTATCTCATTAAATCAGGCTTAACTAATGATTTTATAACAGTTCTTCCCAGCACTAACATGCTAATCTTTTTTAAAAATTATTTATTTATTTATTTATTTATTTATTTATTTATTTGTTACAAGGTCTCACTATGCAGCTCTGACTCCTACTGAACCTCCTGTCTCAACCTCCCAGTGCTGGGATAACAGGCATGTGCTAGGGCAGGCACGGTACGCCCAGGGTCCCAGGCCCTGCACAGCAGGCAGTACCAGGGATCAAACTTAAGACCGCTGAGCTGTCCCTAACATGTTAATCTTCTTGTGTGTGACAGTTCTATTCTTCCTAGCTGGATAACCCCTATAATCAATCACTCAAAGACAGAGAGCATCCACTAGATCCACCAGAGACTTATATTGGGGGAGGGCAGGAAATGAGGCCTTCCTGACCACAATGCATTAGCTACTCTAATGGACTTGCTTCCATTCAGAGTTCTGTAACCACAGGGCAGGCATACAATGAGTGTTTCTCTTTCCTGTGGCCAGCTTCTCACAAGAGCAGCCTCTAGGACTTCCAGGAATCACCCACCACCTGCCTGCCTCCTATCAAGGATTGTAAGGTCTATGGGACTAGGACCATGACAGGGGAAACCCCTAGTGCCTAACCTCAGCTCTGCTGAGGACTGGAAGTAAAAAATTCTAACTCAGTCCCTGCTAATCTTTGGTAGTACAACTTGCAAAATTTTTATATTCCCAAGCCACAAATTCCTCAACAATAAAAAGGAAGTATTACCTATCTCCAAGTGTTCTTTTTAGGACTGGTATAATTTCTCTTTTTTTTTTTAATGTATTTGGTACAGGGTCTACAGGGTCTCACTACACAGATCAGACTCATAATGATTGCTTTCAGCCTCCCAAGTGCTGGGATTACAGGTGTGCGGCACCTTGCCCAGTCTCAGATGTCGTGTCAGCACGCTCCGAGTGTGGGGCCAGCACAGCACACGGAGGGATCGAACCTCAGCTGCTGTGCTCTGCTTAAGCCGGCGCTTTAGTGGTATAATCTCTTTAATTTCTATCAAATTCACCATCATAAATGATACACTGATATTATACTTCCATCCTCACCACTACTTTTAATTCTCTGCACTAAAGTAGATTCTTCTCTGCACTAAAGACATCTATCTGTACCCCATGGTATGGTCTTTTGTAGTTAGTTGACCTTAATGTTTAAATGCTTGTATGGGATGAATATTTTACACACTTTTAGCACAAATTGTAGCACAAAGCAAAAGCTCAAGTAAATATTTTGAGGAATATGTATTTATGTGAATAAAGATAAATATGTCACTAAAGTTGGTGCATTTTCACATACATTACTGAACTATGTATGCATTTCACAAATCAATACAATTTATGCTCAGATGACAAATAACTTTTCCAAGGTAATAAAAACAGTTTAAGGCAAGCACCTGTGTCTTTGTTTTATTTTTTATTGAGAAATAAGTATGAATGAGACAGTTTCAAAGGTGATTAATAGGACAGTTTCGATAATCAATACACTGTACATTGTTATCTTCTTAGTGGTTATCCAGAGTACAAGAAGCAGACAGGATATCCTGTCCAAACACTGTTAGCACACCTCTTTCTACTCATTGAATTAAGCAAAAGTAGCTATATATATATATATATCCTAATTATTTTGTATATGTAAATACAAAACGATCTTTCCTTTGTATCCTTTTTATTTTATTTTTTATATATTTATTTTTTGTCCTGTCAAGCACCTGTGTCTTTGGAGTCCTACCTCAAAGAGCAATTAATAACCCTTACGCATAATGGTCATTTAAAAAGCTGATTTACACTTAAGAGAGCTACAGAATTTGCTTTAACGCTTGTGTAAGACTCATCACAGCCAGTGAAATATGTGTTATCCCTATTAACTGTGACTTCTCTAGCACACCAGGGTGTTTCAACCAGTGAGAATACATTAACAGGCTTGTAGCAGCCTGCCTTAGAGGACCCTGACTCTATTTCTACTGGAAGAAGAGAGATCTCTCAATGTGAGGCAGTCCCAGTACTATTTAACTAAGAGCTTCTCCAAGGCAGCTGCCAAACCACCCCACTTGCCAACACTCCTGCTTTATAGTCAACCAAAAGAACGGACTGTAAAGAAACCTCCAAAATTCTGTATTAATTTCCTTTATGGTTTTCTACTACTGAAAACCAAGTCTTTGGTCAGCAGCATTTGCAATAAAATCAGAGTTCTACCAGCTTAAATGAGGACAATGAAGTGCTACCAAATAAATGAGGGCTGCAATTGTTAGTAAATTCTAGACTGAGAATGATGGTAAGACCAGTAAGTTAGGAGTTAGGAGACAGGGGTTTAAGTCTTTTCTATTTAGAGACTTCTCTTCTAAGTAACAAATAAGCTACTGTCCACTGTACAGTTCTGTAAGATCTCTCCAGCAGTCTCTGCCTTCTTCATGCCCAAATCTATATTCTTTCTCCTTGAATAGTGTCAGGTAAGCCAGTCTCACATTCGTCACTTGTCAAGTCCTGTCAAATCTCTACTAAGCATCTCTCAAATCAGTCTACTTCACTCCATCTACACTTTGCTATTCCCTTACTCATCTCTTACCTGAAGTTACGCAATAACCTTTGACTCACCTGCTTCCCTTTTATCTGCTGTGCTGTTCTCCATACTGCTCCTAAAGTAACTTTTCTAAAAGCTTTAAGTCCCAACTTCTTAGTCTGCTAGTTGACTCTAGTCTGACATAGAAATAAACTAAAAATACCCCTATTGAGCTAAGAAAGGCTAAAAGCTAACCCCAAATAAAAAGACTGTAACTGAGAGAACACCAGTTGGTGGGGGGCGCTTACCTCCTGTCCTGTGGCCACATCCATTGCAGTGTACACGGTGCCTGATGCACTGAACAACGGGCGGGAGAGAAAGGGAAAGAAAAACGGGTGTTCAATGAATTCGTCAAATGCAGCTCTACAGGTGATCCGACAGTACAAGGATTAATAATAATAGCAAAAATAATCCACTTGCCCTCTCCCCTTGCAGTCTTCCAACTGTTATTTGAAAGGTCGTGAGTGGTAATCAAGAGAACAAAGGCTGCAGCAGCCCCCCACTGACCTGAGCTTCAATACAGAGCTTCTACTTAATGTCCATGTACTATCAGAGCTTGACTGAACCATGTCCGTTCTGGGACCTGCACCTTTCTCTTTTTGTGAGATAAACATAGGAATATACAAGAATTTAAATCAACTGGTTTATGTAAAGCACTTAGACAAGTGCCTAAAATGAATACAGTAGGTATTCAAATACACCAGAGTGTCTGGCTGTTTTGGTTTTTTTTTTTCCTTTGGAGGGGGTCTTTTTGAGACAGTGTCTCGTTTTGTAGGTAGCCCAAGCTGGTTTTAAACTGGTGGCAATCCTCCTGCTTCAGCCTCCTCAGTATTGGGATTACAGGTATGCATCACCATTCCTAGCTTCAAATACATTAGAGTTTCTTGATTTTGCTCCTCCTCCTCTCTTCTAGCACCTTTAGCAAGTTGATTTAATTTCTTGAAGCTTCATACTGAAACTGGGCGCAGAATTAGAGTCATGGATTTCAGGTGTACTACTATTCATATCCCATTTCCAATGTAAGAATAACTCTGTTAGATACGAGTGTACAGGTAGGTATGTGTATACACATTCACACAAGCAAATACCTAGAGGGAAAGGAAGAAATGCTAGAAATAAGTCAGGCATGGTAGTGTATGCCTATAATCCCAGCACTCTGGGAGGCTGAGAGAGGAAGATCACGAGTTTGAGTGCAGGCTGGGCAACTCGGCAATTTAGCCAGATCCAGTCTCAAAATACAAAATAAAATAAAATAATGGGCTGGGAATGTAGCTTGGTGCCAAGGACTGGGACCAGGCACTGGGCAAAAGAAAGCTCTAAATAATGCTAGAAAAGTTATCATGTCCATTTGAAATCATCTTCATTTTATGACTACAAACACAAACCTTGGATATTTATAGGTAATTTGCAAAACAGTTTCATAGCTGAACATGCCATACATCAAGTACATTATGATACTTTTTCTTTTGGATACTGGGAATTTAACTCAGGACTTTGTGCTTGCCAGGGGGATGCTTAAGCCACTGAGCTAACTCCCCAGCCCCATATGATATAATTTGAAGACATTTAAAATTCTAGTCTTTTGCGAGAATGCATTGAGGCAAATCCTGAGGTTATATTCCCCAGATGTCAGGTCAGTTCAGGGGTGAAGCCACTTATAAGTACGTTTTCCAGCTAGAGATCACAGTCATTAGATCCTTAACCTCACCCCTTAGGTGGGAGCCTGCCTGCGTGCCTGGAAACTGCGATTACTAAGACACTGGCTATTAAATAAAGACTTGATTATATGCACTCGCTGCTATTTTTCCACTTGCCTGATAATCCTACCCCTATCCATGTCCTACTAAAAAGCAGAGTACTATCTTCCTATCCTTCTTTCTCTCTGATCCTCTTACAAGCATTACTCTTTCCCCCCCCCCCCCTTTGGTCTTTTTGAGACGGTCTTGCTATGTAGTTCATGCTGGCCTTTGTAGCCCAGGTGGGGCTTGAACTCGCAATGATCCTCCTGCCTCAGCCTCCCAAGCGCTGGAACTACAGATGTGCGCCACCACGCCTGGTTTACAAGCTTTATTCTTAAAAATACAAACATGTTCAAGCCTCAGAGAGCCAAATATTTTAAGACCATGTCTTCACGCATGCGAAGTTCCAGAAAACTCCTTGGGCTCACTAGTTGGCACTTGGTTATTTTCTACTTAAACAGATAAATGACTAGACATATGAATTCCAGGTCAAAAGCATAACCATTTCTAGATCCCAAAAAGAAAAAGAAAAAGCACACAAAAATTATACTGGTCTCAATTCATCAAATGGTTGTGGCATTTGTATTTTTAAAATTATGAGACATACAGCTATCAATAGGGATGCTTAATATTTCATTCTTGGCACTATCAGACCTGTGAAATAATCAAGGAAAAAAAGTGTTTCTGGCAGATGTTGCCTACTTAGAGGTCTTCTACACCCTTTTTTTTTTTTTTTTTTTTAAATAGGCATTTTGGAGATGAAAGACCTTTACTCTACAATCCTTCTTCCCTAAATGTACAGATGAAGACCCTCAAATTCTGAGAAGGGACATGATGTGTCTACACTTGTCCATGCACTTTTTGCTACATTCCTGATATCTCCACTTAACTACCTAAAGGAAGTACCATTTACCTTATTCCACAGCAAGCAAACTTTCTTCCCAAAGTGCTAACTACCAGTTCATATTCAAAAAAGAATTAAGGAAGATTTAATTAGGAAAAATAATGAGACCAGAAAACAATGACATCTACCTAATTAAAGACTGTTTTAATGATTAAATTCAACAAAAGATGTAAGAGCTGCACACTACAAAATGTTGTACAAATAAACTATCCCTATATTATAAATTCTTCATCCTGCTTTAGAAGCTCTTTGGTGCATAAGAAAGTAGAAAAAGAAAATGTCAATGACATTTAGCAACAATGCTTTCATTCCACTGGCATTGAAAGCCTACTACGAGGGCTTCTTAATAAGAGCGAGACTTATTTTTTTAGTTATACTTTAGTTTCACTTCTTTTAGTAAATCCGTAGGAATCTGCTTATTTATATATAAAGGTATACCTTCGATTTCAGGCTAGAGGGTTTATCTGGAAACACAGATCTATAACCTGGGATGCTGGTTTTGAGCTAAAAAAATAAATGGTTCTTTAACTGTCACCACAGGGTACTTTTAGCAATACGGCCATTTAATGGCCTATCTTTCATATTAAACACAAGTCTGCCAAGCTTGAAGTCAGCCTAACGTAATACCTCCAGCTAGGAAGCTCAAGAAAGAACAACGTTTGTAGAGACAAAACAGTTAACAAAGTCATATATGACAGCACACACAATTTTAAGTCATTTCTCCAAGGAAAGAAAATGCCCATACTGACCCTTGTCCAATTTTCTCAAATCGTGTGTATTTCTTCTTAGGATCACCCACACTCACTATGCTCCCTTCGAAAGAAACAGAGACCATGAATCATTTTTTTCTGGACCAAGACACGAAACAGACCCCACGTTCTCCCTACTCCCCAGAGTTGGTACGAATTAAAGAACTGGCCCCCGTGCCCACAAAACACACTAAACAGCTCCCTTAGCGTCTCCCTAATCAAAAGTTCCATTTCCTTGACTGCTTTTATCTATAGTAATCTATTCAATTTCTAAACCAAGGGCCATTCATTCATGTTTTAATGAATAATTACTTCAATAAATACTTACTTATTTACTATATACCAAGCCATATGCTAAGTGCTAGGAATAAAGAACTAGAAAAACCACAGTTAAGACAGGCCCTGCTCTTAAGCCGCTCATGCATCTGGTCTGCTTTTGTTTTTATAGTCTTACTTGTAAGATGCCCTAAAAATATAACAATTGCTGTGATAAACTGCAAACGGTTATTGAAAAGGACACAAAAATAAGAGTGGAAAGGCTTAAAAAAGACGCTATCTGGGCCAATTTTTACAAGTAGATGCTAGTCAGTCAAGTAAAGAGATTTATAGCAGAGATACTTTAAGTACCAAGGCAAAAGGAGATCCAAGACAACTTGCTGGGTTTCACGACACGTGTTCCACAGACGGGGAGGCGAGGCCCACAGAAAGGAGCAGCCTTCCCCATGGGCACCCAGCAACCTGGTGTCAGATCTAAGGTTAAGAGACTGGCTTTTAGGTGCCTAGCCCAATGTGCTTCTCTAATGCCAATGATTAGGATTTAGTAACTTCACATACATCATCTCATTTGATTTACAAAAAAAATTAGATCTAATGCTCTCATTTAAAAGGTGAAGAAAAACAAGGCTCAGAAGCCAGGAGAAAACTGCCTAAGATGTAAGTCAGTGGCAGAGGTGGCGTTTTAACCTAAGTGTACTCACTTCCAAGCCAATTTGCTTTCCATAATTCTAAGTAAAATTATAAAAGCAAAAACAGCCCCCCCCCCCCCGGTAAAATAAAAACCAAACAAATCTGGTGAGTGGCTTTCACTTCACTATTTTACGGGGGCTCCAGGCAATGGCAACTTTTAAGAGAGTGAAATTCTTTTAGTGTTTTTGAGATAGGATCTCACTATATAGTCCAAGCTGGCTTTGAACTTGTGCAGATCCTGCCTCACCCTCCTGAAAACTGGGATTACAGGCATCTGCCACCACACCCAACAAGAGAATTCTTTTAAAAGTCAAACAAGAATGATCAGGAAGAAGTAGACAACTGCTAAAGCAGAAAATGAGAAACCTCAGTGCCAGTTTACAGAGCTGGCTAAATCAGCCACATCAAATCTATTTTGGAAAGAAAGAAATATAGAGAATAAACCAAAGGCCTCATACAGTGACATTTCCAAGCCCAAAGATGAAGCTAGTCTTTCTGTCTGATGTAAATCTTCAGTTTACTGAAATGCAGGAGCAGGCCACCCTGATACGCTCCTACTTCTGCCTGCTCAATAAAGTGAAATGGAAGATTCCACCTGACAGCAGAGGCAACACGCTCTACTAACAAAGGCCCACGTTTGTGTTCTGACCTCAGCCCTATCATTTCTGTCTGTATGACTTGGGGTACAGTATTTATTTTTTCTGGGCCTCAAAAACGAAGAGCATAATGCCTATTTTGACATGATATATGAGAAGTAAATGAAAAAAAAGGAACAAGAAAATATCTTGCTTGTCATATAGTACAGTCTAGGTTCACAAAATGTTGGTTTCCCTTCCCTTCTTTTTCTACAAGTATGATGGCAGATCTGTCTTTTCCTAGGTCAATGGCAAACACTGATCACAGCACTTTCCCAGAAGGTATATTCAGTTTCTCAATTTGTCAACATAGTATTCTGTTCACTAGACAAAAGCACTTGCCCACCTCTATAACCCAGGCCTAGCAGGAAAGGGATAACTTGTCCTCAGAGTGAGCTCTTCATACTCTTCTCTTTCGATCCCATCCAAACATGGTATTCAACCAGAGCTGGTGAGAGAGAATGGAAGCGGCAGGACTGTATGAAGAGAAGAGCAGCTCTGGCTAAGGTTCTAAGCATGGCCAGCCAATCACATAGATCAAATAGGATCAGGATCTTTTTTTTTTTTTTTGTACTGGGAACCTCTCTTGCCAGAGAGGTGCCATACTGCTGAGCTATATCCCTGGCCCTGGAATCAGGAGCTTCACAGCAGCAGAATTCCATCTCTGTGCTTGATCAGTCATACACCAAGTGAAGGCTTAGAAAGCAAAGTGCTTACGTAATTTTTCCAAGATCTCCTCATCAGACATTTTAGGTTTTTTCTTCTGTTTCTCAGTATTCCGGGTCAAAGCATCTGGCAGAACGGTGTTATTCTCAGTAGGTGATATGGGAGATGTAGCCACATCCCGAGTTGGAGTAACAGGAAGTGGTTCAATCACAGATCGCGTGTACACCTGCGTTAGTGGCGCAAAATTTTGGGAAAGAGAATCTTCGTTAGTACAGAAGAACCATTTCTAGATGTAAGGTTAGAACATCCACAGAACAATGCCCTAAACTTGCATCTTTCTCTTCTGTCAAAATCTATATTCCAGGCCCACCTACTATGAGAAAAGGCTTTCCTTGCTCTTTATTATATACAATAGTGGTTAATGAAGATATTCAAAGGACACCAGGCAACTCTAGGTACAAATTATTTAAAAGAGACTCCAATATTAGATGAGACTCTCTTTCATCTGTAACTTTCTATGTTTTCCAAGATGAAATGAAACCTTCTATTACAGCACTTGGTGTTAAAATCGCAATGACAACCTTCTACTGATAGACAATGAGCCCTTTCAGAGAAGACAGTACTTGTTGTTTGCCAAGAGGCAACAGTGTAGTGATTCAGAACGTGAACTCAGGAACTTGACTGCCCGGCTCTCATTCCTATCCCAGCTCTTTTATTCTTACCATCTGCATGACTTGGGGCAGGTTATTTAGCTTCTCTGTGCTTCAGTTTCCTCATCTGTAAAATGGTGATAATAATGCCACCTATCTTATAGAGTTGTCATAAAAATAAATTGGTTAATATATATGATATGATCAAAGTCATCTCCAGGACATATTAAGCACTCAAATTTTGGCTTTGTAAACATATTTTTAATTCATTTATTTACTTACAAATATTTACTGAACTTCTACTCTAAGCTGAACCCTATGTAAAATTCTGCACCTGGATTCTCATTCTGGTAAAGGAGGTGAGAAAGCCATATCACAGGGGGGAGGCATAAATGTTATATGAAATGAGTGGCTATACACTACTGATGTTCAGGGGTGGCCTCAATTTACACTCTCCTCCCTAGAAGATATTTCAAGATACTTATCAGGTGCTATCATAAAAACATCACAATTATCTTTCAGATACTTATAAGCCATATGAGAGCTCATCCCTGAGTTCTAACCACTACCTAACAAAAAGCACTCAGGCAAATATCTTGGGACATCAATCAGCACATAATTCAGACCCTTCAGCTGGACTGGCTTCCTTACTACTCCAGCGTAACTTTTTAGTCTCCTACTCTTGTGCCCATGGACAGACTGTATTTCCAGGCCCCTAAACCTAAGCATTCATGCCTTGTCTTCTTTCTTAACTCTGCCTGTCCTTTCCCTAACATCCCTCTTCTCTGGCTCCCATGCAGGTCTGTACACACACAAACGTTCCTGAGCTGTGCTGGGAGGAAACCCGACTTGGACTAATTTACCTACTTTTAAATACAATATTAGCTCTTTTGCTAAATGACTGTAGGTAGATCAATTTACCTCTCCATATATCAGTGGCTGCTTCTGTGAATTAGCAATTAATGGTAACTTTTTAGAAAGAAATTCTAAAATCAAATTTATCAATCTAGTCCTTTATTCATCCCCAGCCATTTTAATTTTTTTTTTTTTTTTTTTTTTTTTTTTTTTTTTTTTTGAGATAGGGTCTCATCAAAGTACCCAGGCTAGCCTCAAACTTGCAATCCTGCCTCCATCTCCCAGAGTGCTGGGATTATAAGCATACTCAGCTCCTTTATTCAATGTTTATTGCCTCTATATTTGCAAAGAACTATGGTAAGCACTGAAATTATATATCTGTTGATTTTCTACTTTAGAGGAGCTCAAAATTTAGAAGAAAAAGTATTTTAAATAAAAACGCTTGCAAACCAAAACAGGTCATGTCAATGTGAACCATTTTGACAATTCTTCAATTTCAAGGCAATTTTTCCCAAGGCGGCACTGTGCCATGTGGGCTGGGCATTCCCGCAGGTGTTGCTCATGAGTTCTCAGGAGAGGGGCTGCTCGATCCCCAGACCTCCTCTCCACCATTTCCCACAATCACATAGCCAACTTCTGACACTTTATTTCAGAGGCAGCCTTCTGTTTCTGCATTACCACAGAGCTTAAGTCCTAACAGTTCTTTCATTATTGAGCTTTCATTGTAATAAAAAGACCAAACAAAGAAACACTAGTAAAGTACTATCTGACAGGAGGCCTGTCAGTGCTCAATAACGCTAAATCAGGTAAAAGGCACAGGGAGGGACTGCATGACGCTGAGTGAGAGTAGAGGGATGGCGCTTACTCCGAGATGCGGAAATCTCCAAGGAACTTAAACAGAAATCACGGCCAACATCCGGTGCCAAAGTGCACTCCTGATGTCCAGCATATTAATAGCACTAGTGTGTTTATATACTCTCCTGGGTCTTTCAGTATCATCAATAATGGTTTTAAAGGCTGAACACTGAACATTTAACAGTGAGGAAAAAAAAATCTATAGCAAGATAATTTGTTGCTTCCCAGAAGAATAATTTATGTTAGCCCTGAACTAAGTTACACCAATTCTTCCTGTCCCTTCAGCAGAAAACAAGACTAAGAAAATCAAAGCTGGATTGGTATAAAAGCCAATTAACTAGGATACTTTGGGTCTGTCTGCAGCACAATGATAAATATACCACTTCTTATCTTTAATAATAAAGAAAGAACCTTCAGAAAAGGTGGCTCAAATCTAAGGCCTCCTACCAGAACGTTAAACTTGCAGGCCTTAGTTCCACGCCTTCCCTCCTCCTCTTTCCCCTAATAAATCAGAAGGCTGTCCGGGGCCCAGACTCACAGATTTTGTGTGCTCCGGGCGAGGCGCAATCACGGGCGGTGGGGCGGCATCCTCATCATCCTCATCTTCTGACACTGGGGGCACTGCAGGAGCCTCAGACACGGCCTTGACATTCTACACAGGGAAGCAAGGTCATACACATCTGGCCAGTTGACACAGAATTCACCGTGTCGGGATCACCAGTTCCCCAGAAGAAACTTGAGCCCCAACGCCACCTAGCGCCAAGCCTTCCATCCTTGTACTTTCAGCTCCCTCTTTTCTTTTAACCAGAACCAGCCCCTCAGGCTGGAGACTTCCTTCTACCCCCAAGGACTAACTACAGAGTAGGAAGTCAGCTTATAGCTCTCGACTTGCCTCTTCCCAGATGAACACCTGAAAACAAGCTCACAGTTCTTCTTACTCTTGAATTTTACTCTTCACACAAATAGATGAGAAAGTAGAAGTGCTGGACGAGGAACGGGACATAAAAAGAATGAAGATGTGTGTACAGGTATCAACTCACTGTGATGAATGTTAGCAATATGTAGTGCAAACACGTATTAATAAAAATAATGATTAAAAAGTATAGGGCCAGGGATGGGGAGATGGCTCAACAGCATAAGCGCCTGCCTCACAAATGCAAGGTCTTGAGTTTGATCCCCAATACTGCAAAAAAAAGGTAATAATTAATTTAAAAAATAAAAAGTATAGGGCCAGCCAGATAGCTCAGTGGATCAAAACACTTGCCTAGGCAGACACAGGGACCAGAGTTTGAACCCCAGTGTGCCATGTCAGCCCCACCCCCAAGGTGTACTGAGCCTACAATTGAGACTGGGTGTGGTGGCACATACCTATAATCCCTATGCTTGGGAGGCTGAAAACAGGAGGATCACTACAAGTATGATCTGTGTAGTGAGACCCTGTAGACCTTGCACAAAATACATTTTTTTAAAAATTATAAATGCTGGGAGGAAATAAAAAACTTTGAATTTTTTCAAAATTTCTCACCATGATTCCTTACTCCTTCATGAGAGGGTAAATTTGTCTGAACAGGCTTCTGCCCTTTTGTCTTCCTCTCTTTACCAACCTCCAGGACCCATTCATTAGGTCCTCAGGAACCTTCCTTCCTATCTGAAGGAGACAATGAGTTTCTCCCCGGACAGGCACTATTTCCATAAGGTTAGCTCTGCATGGCCCTGGAGCACACCCTACCAGTACCACTGTTTATAATCAGTAGCAACTTGATCCAACCATGAAAACTATAACAGAGCTGGACCACAAGTACAGGCTTTCGTGCTGGTCTAGACAAAATCGACATACCATTATTGTTTACCACACAAACTCAAGAGACAAAGTGGCTCTAAAATCTGAGAATTTTGCTTTTTTTCAGTATTAAGATGACAGAACAAGGATTTTTCAATATATACTCATAGACTTAAATAGTTACAGATATTTCCAGAGCACCTATTTTGTATTCAGTATGATACTGGGATGAACACTGCTGATATAAAGGTTCAAAGGTGAAAAAGACAGCCCATTTCTTGAAGAAGCTCTTTGATATAGAAGACAGACAAGTGGGTCAGTTCTCGTCTGCCACTCTGAGGCTCCTGAGAAAGAAAAGCTAAGAGTCCGAAAAATAAGGGCTAAGTAGAGGAAAAATGAATACTAGATAAGAGCTGCATTTTATATACCGTACTACGGAAAATTAGCAAGCTCACAGATTCTAACAGGACCTCCAGAACATGGCATATTTGACAGGGACAGGAACGTGTAAACAACTAAGGATGGCAACCACAGACAATGTATCTATTTTCTTTGTAGTTTCATCAATTGCAGAATGTGAGGAAAGAGGAGGGTGTAATTTAAGGGTGACTTAATTTTGCAAGTGACCATAAGCCACTTTCAGTTCTAAAAATCAACAGAGGTTCTTTCCTGGCCAAAGCATATATTTTAGTATTCTTCGACTCTAATTCATTTTCTCTCCACTATTTTACTAAGCAAAACTTACGTAGGAACATAAAGAGGAAATGAAGTTGCCATAGCAGCTCCTCCAGCAGCAGAGAGCTCTACTGAGATATGCCAGGCTTTTTGCTTTCACAATCTCGGTAGAGATGGAAGGGGTAGAGAACAGAAGGGAGTGCAAGTGGAAAGATCTAAGCTGTGCTACATCAATCAACTTCCCCACGATGAAGGTAGTCATTGCGTACTGTACGCATGTACTGGTAAGAGTGGACAGAGCTGTAGGAGAGTTCATCTTCTTCCCCAGGAACATTTTGTTTTCTACAGGTGACAGTGCAGGTGGTAGGATTAGTAACTATCAGAGTTAGGTCTTTGTCCACAGTTACTTCTTAGCCCTATGTCCTTGGGAAAAGGGGGAGCACTCTAAGCCTCACATTTCTCATCTATAAAAGGCAGATGATGACAGCAGCTCTGCTTACCTCGGAGGGTCACTGGAAAAATGAAGTGGTATGGGATAGCAACACTCTGAAAATGGTGAAGAGCTAGAAGGATATAAGGGGTCAACTAAATTACCACTGTGGCTAATAACTCCCTCACCCCCATCTTATACAAAACCAGAAATCCCAATCCATCTGCTCACTTACCCATTTACCCATTCTGAGCTTCATGCTCCATTCTAGCTCTGGGGCTATAATGAAGGGGGAAAAAGGACCAAATCCCTGTCGTATGGCCTGGCTTACCTTCAGGAGATGATACTGTCACCAGTGCTGGGCAGCAAAGCGATAAACATGTAGGGAGACGGGTAGCGGGGTCCACACTACTCTAACGGGATCCTCCCAGGACAACCTCTCTGATCAGCTGCGGTACAAGCAGCGACCTGAATGAACTGAGGAAGCCAGAACCTCTGAGAAATGGCTCTTCATAGTAAGTGGAGGAAACGCAGACAGCCTGAAACAGGAGCACACCTGGTATGCTCCCACGACTTCTAGCTCTACCTGTGTGGCTGTACTAAAGCGGGCAAGAGGAAATGAAGACACCAGAAGTTAGCTAGGTGTGACAGAATATAGTCACCTGGGGTGACAGCAAGGGTGAGTGTTACCAAATCTGTGCTGGAGAAAGCAGATACCCTGAGTAATGGCAAGAGATAAAGTCTGCTATGGGAGGATAAATGAGAAGAAAATCTGCCTGGACTCGAGTCCAGTGCTTAGGCATGTGCGAGGGAATCAGACCACTGCTGGACCACAGCACTCCTCGCTCCCACCCCAGAGCTTGTGCATGCACCATCAAAAAATAGCCATCATCGCCGGGCAGATGGCTCAGTAGGATAAGTGCTTGAATGGCAAACACAAGGATCTGAGTTCAATCCCTGGTTCCATCAAAAAACAAAACAAAACAAAACAAAACAAAACAAAACAAAACAAAACAACAGCCATCATCAGGGAATCAAACAATAACAAATATAGGAGAAGTTGTTCGGGAAAAACATACCTTTCTACACTGTTGGTGGAAAAGGAAACTAGTAAAACCACTATGGAAATCAGTACAGAGACTCCTTAAAAAAACTAAAACTAGAAATTCCATTCAACCCAGCTATTCTCCTTCTAGGTATCATTCAGAAAGAATTAAAGATATTGTACTAGAGTGATACGTGCATTCCAATGTTTACAGCAGTACAACTTATTTAGGAGGCCTCGATGTCCATCAACAGATGAATGCTAAAGAAAATGGGTATTTATAAACAACTGGGTATTATTCTACCTTAAAGAAGGATAAATTTGCATTTTAAGAAGAGTAGATAGGCCCTGAGACAGTAATGTTAAATAAATGAGACATGCAGGCTTAAATATCATATGGTTTCTCTTATATGAGAAACCCAATGTACAAGTAAACTAAATAGAAAAATGAAAGACAGAGTAAAGGAAACAGAGAGGTAGTTCTTTTGTAAAAGATAAAAGGGACAAAAGATAGGATGGGGGGAAGAAGATGAGGATGTTAAAAAACTACGATACGTCACGTTCACGCACCAAGTGCCCATGATGAATGTAATCATCATGAATTGCAGACACGTACTAATAAAAAGTTAGCTATAAACTAGATTATAGAAAGCCTTTGGGATCATAAAAAAACCTATGCAATGTATACCTACAATGATCGCTGGAGGACAGTCAGCAGAACAGTGATATGCACTAAAAGCCTGTATTATTTTTCTTTTTAAAATACTTTACTAAGCCATTTTTCACATAAGGCTGGGGAGATAGCTCGGCAGTCTAAGAGCCTGCCTGGCAAGCACAAGGACCGGGGTTTGATCCCTGGTACTGCATGCCATGCTGACCCTGGATCCTCGGGTGTGCTGTGCCAGCCAAGAAACCAGGCCTGGCAGTGCCCACCTGTAATCCCAGCGGTGGGGAGGCTGACACAGGAGGAACACTACAAGCCCAAGCTGTGTAGCGAGACCCTGTATCAAATAAATAAATAAATAAATAAAATGACTTTAAAAAATTTTTTTAAAAAGTTATTTCTCACAAATAAAAAATTCTTTATCAGAGGTAACAAAATACAAATTATTTTATAATGAACTAGTAAAGAACATCAAAGGAAATATGCAGCTATATGGATTCAAAGTTTCTGGTTTGAGGCTCTTGTAAAATGTAGTCTGGCTTAATACTAAAAGTTTTCATAAAGTACCAAATCTATTACCTACTGAAATGTATACACACAGCACTTTTATTTCTCAGATGTTCAAACATAAATATATAATCTATTTTGTCTTAAATACAAAAATATTTACCTCATGAGTTTGCCAATGTATAGAGGCAAAGAATATTAGATACAATTTCTAATAATATTTATTTTTTAAAAAATAAAATCCTAGTATGTAGACAATAGAAAACAAATGCTACTAAAGAACCTACATTTTTCTTCAGACAATTTCAGTTGTTCACCACTATTTTAAAGGTATTTCTGCAGGTTCATCCACAAGTTTGGGTTTTCTTCTCTTTGGTTTTTGACAGCCAGATATTGATGGCAGGCATGCAGGCATGTAACACCATGTCCAGCTTTCTCCTTTGTTACTTTAAAAATCATTATGAGGATACAGCTAAAGACAGAAGGAAACTGGCAGATCCTCTCCCCCAAAAGCAAGTTTAAGTCTGTACAAAACTGACAAAAACCATTTC